TTACTTTTCTCAGTTTCCTATCAGTAAAAATGCTCACATATTCCCTTTAAAGGAAATCCATGAATTCACTATGCCGTATATATATATATATATATGTATATATACACACACACATATATCTACATAAAGTTTTAGATAATGAATCATGGACCTCTGTGAATTCATTTTAATATCAAATTTAAACCATGAAGATATTTTAGCAAGTTTTATCCATTTTAGTATATATTGAAAAAGTAGTTCCTTAAGATTTAATCTTCTAGCAAAAGATTTAAAGCACGTAATTGCCATTTCAGAGAAATTGATGTTACACATTTCCATATATTGTGATCAAAAATTTTAAGTTTAAAAATTTTGTTTTATTAGATAGTATTCAAACAAATTTCTTATGAATTAGAATATGTTTTTAATTCTGATTTTGAAGAACTTTATTGAAATTTCTCTTGTTTAGATTTAAATCGTTTATATAATTTATCCATATTTACTAATTTCCCTGATCAAATGTAGACAAATACAATCTAATTATTTTCACTTTGTTCGCTTATCAAAACACCTTTTTTATCTGCTATGTACTTTATCAATTACCAGCTCTTCATTCCTTATGCATTAATCTAGAAAATAAAAAATACAGTTAATTTCTTTTGTAAATTATAAATGCCAAACTTCTGATTTGTAACAACTTTGTTTTTTTAGGCAAAATTCAATAGTATTTGATTAAATTAACATACTCTTCAGGAAAAATAACAATAAAAATTTCCCATCTTTTGTATTGTGGAAATCAGAGATGAAATATCAGGTAGTTACTTGTTTGACCTGTCTATTAGGTAGTCATTATTTCTGAATTTTAATATTCATAAATTATATGTCACATATCATTAATTTGTCTATTTTTTAATTTATGGTTTCTTAGTGTCCATGTTCAAATATCTTTTGGTTAATCATAGGATGTTAACATCTAAGGCATAGATTAAGATCTTCTAAAATTCATGTCATATTCAGCAAATTAATGACTGCAGATTATCTTGTTTTATGATCAGAAATAGTAAATTAATGTTGAACTAGGATTTATTTTTATTATGTGTGTGCATGTGTATAATTCTTCTGCATATAAATTAGTGTATTTTTATTCTTGGAAAAAAATAAAACTGGATGTCTCTTAGAAAACAATAGCCTGAATTTTCTATCCTGTACTATATTTGTTGAGTATTTTTTGATTAACAGTATAATAGTTTGAAAAATGTATACAATTCTAGATAACTAAAAAATGAGGCAAATGACTAGTACTAATGTTTCCAATTGTATATTTTCTTAAAAAATGTAGCTCCATTTTCACAATCAAAGTCTAAATAAAAGGCCAAAAGTGAAGGTACCAAGCCAGGACCTCATAAGCAATTGCTTAGCAATGTCCAACGTTGCTGCTCACTTGTAGGAGTGAGAACCAGATTGTGTTTGGGTTTAGGAAGACAGCTCAGAGTATTTTACTTATTTCTGCTTTGACAAGAGTCACAATCAGGCAGTTAAAATAAGTGAGACGGAATTGTCGGAGAAAATTCTTCACTATACTCATATTAAATAAAATATTATCAGTAATATAACATATATATTCATATATTTATATATATACATAATTTTAGAGACAAGAAAACTCTATCTCAAAGTTCTCTCATTGATTAAGTGGGGATGATAATAGACAACTCATAAAAATGTTGTCATCATTCACCACTAATTACAATAGGAGCAGCTAAGGGAGTCCTCCTGGCCTTTCGACCTTTCTCTGAAAGTTTCAACAAAGGTGAAAATGGAAAGAATTCATAAGGAGACATGGACAACATGAGTCTCAGGACAGAGTCACACTGCTTTCAAAGTAGTAGAAAATGTGGGCAAAGATTCATTTTGTTAGTAAGGAAATTTATTGAAGGAGGAAGTTGTAAGTTGTGATCTTGAAAATTTATCCTTCACAAAATAACAATTGCCTTCTATACTGAAAACAGAGAGGAATGTTTCTGAACAGAAGTAATGAAATCTTTTAGTTCTATACTAACTACTACTTAACCTTCTCAAAAAAATTGGACTTTTCTAGATCCCCTAAAATATGTCACGTTTATAATGCTGTGAATGAATTCATTTAGTAAATATTTATCGACCTTCTAAATTGTGTTAGAATCCCAACAAAAAAGTAAGCAGAGTTCTTTTCTTCAAGCAGAGAGACTGACACCAATAAAATCAGAGGAAATAAAGAGGTGGTGTAGAAAAGACAAGTATCAGACAATGTTCTTGGTCTTTCTGAGAATTCCAACTAACCTTACATTGTTGAATTTTAGTTGATTTTGATTAATCTTCGGGTATTGAAAATTTAGGTTATTTCAACTTTTGCTATTTCACAATAGAGGTGAGAAATTGCATTAACAGGAATGTACAATAAAATGAAGGACAGAATCAAGAAACCCCCAAAAATTTTGAAAAAATGAAAGTGTCATGTTTCAGAACACACAGGATGAAATTAATTTAGTAGTGATCAAAAATGTTTAACAGTGACTAGGAGAGATGTCTAATTTGGCAGGTCATTTTCTTGACCCAATTGTCATACTGGCCAAGGGGCTTTCCATCAAATTGCCTTCAGTCAATTTGTTTTTAGGTTCATATGAAGTTCAGAGGAGAGGATGAGAGAGGGTGATGAGCAGAAAAGCAGATGGACTATAAGTCAATAATGATTTGTAGTGTTATCTCATCTATCTGGACACTTGAAAAGACTCTAGGGCGGTTCTCTTGAACTGGATTAACCATTATTAAAACTACCCATTGTTTTTTAGTTCTTTGAATATTAGCCTAAGAAAAAAACCTATATTTCATGCATTTTCACTATTGTAGGGAATAGGATATCGTTTGGTTTATACAAGAATGCTCACAGGGCCTGAAAATATATAGACCCTCTCCAAAACAAATCAGGATTTGTTATTGCCCATCTTTGTTGATATGGAATAAGGAAAAAAATCCAAATAATGGGATTTTTGGCTGACCAAATCAAACAACAAAAAAGACCTGTTATTTGCGTTCCAATTTTTAAGAATCAAATGATATAGCTGATTTTGAAAAGCTGCTTTTTGGATCCAATAGAATCTTATTCTAACCCACTGTCTGATAGCAAATAACCCAACATTTTATAATCTGTAAAAGGTTTGGTAATATCAGTTTCTTTATATGGAGTTTTAAAGGACTAATAATATTGTGTGTTCTTATATTTGCTAGCCCTGGAAGATATTTGCCTTTGCATTAATTAAATACATATATTTTGAGATCCTAATGAGCAAATGATTTTGCAAACAAAGAATGTGTTATTTTCTGTTTTAGATATTCATGAAAATTAAAATTACGAATTGTTTTAAATTTAGGAAAAGTCTTGCATTTGTCCCTAGCCTGCCTAAACAATTTAGAAAAGCCTACCATGAAAATAAGAAGGTGTTATAAAATTAGTAAACAAGAAGTCCATGTGCACATATACATATTATTTCTTCATTTATAAGGTTGAAGTCGGTTCTGCTTTATGATCATGATAATCACACTCCAGGCAAGACCCATTTCCCTTAGTGATTAATGTAGCACCATTGACTTTTCAGAAGGTTGTTTTCTTAATTTGACTGGCCAGGAAGCATTTTCGCTGTTGAAAAACAGATGTAAACATCAATATCTAAGATAAGAGAGTGATCGCATGCTGTTCTCTGATGTCTCCCATGTAGACAATTCAGCAGGTTAAAGTCTGAGGATTGAGTAGGGCTATTTATCAGAAGTAAAGAACTAGAAAATTTTGGTGTGACTCAAAGACTTTAACTGAGAGACTGACAGGAAACCTTTAATAGCAAGATAATCTGTCAAGCGCTCTGAATATTTAGGGGCTGTGTGGCAAACGTGAAATCAGAACCCAGCACAGTAATTATAGGTAATTTGTGAACTGTTTCTAATTTCCTCACTGTGTAAATTATATGCCTACCCACGTGAGACAAGATCTGACTCCCCCAGGATCTTACCGAGATTCTCATAGCTTGACACTGGCTGTATTGTCTCAGTGTTGTCTATGCTGCTCTTCATATTTCCAGTGGGTTTTGAGTAAAAGGAGGGAAGATTTTGGTGTTAAACTCGAAGCTGTTCTTTCTGTTTATTATGTTTTCTGCGTTTGATTCTACAGTTAACTTTCGACAACTTCGATTAATTATGGATTAGGGGTTGAATGTTATGGTTCAAGTCCATGTTCAATAACCTCTCTTAGGTATGCCAAATAAATAAATCATAAACCTTTCAGAATACTGGGTTCATGCTAGTTGACTCAATACTTGTTAAAGACTCCTAGGTACTGAAAATTGTTAGAAGGCGTTACCAGCTAACCAGGGTAAGAATTGCAAGACTCTAAGCTGTACATTAACATTGTTTGTGAGAAAAGGAAAAGCAAAATAATAATAACAATCGGCTTTGTTTTTTGTTTGTTTCTAAAGATTGCTCTCATCTATTTCCTAGCATTGCATTTTCCTAAAGAAAAAATCAAACAGCATTTAACATGCATATACTCATACATTATTATCATTTCTTTAATCTCATATGGTGGTGTTATTTGTGTTTATTTCTGTTGTGTTGTTTCTTTGTTTACTTCTTTGGCAAAGCATGTCATTTTTCGTTTTACCTATCTGTATTTTGCTACTGCATGTCAAACTTTTTAAATGACTCAGTGAACAAATGAATTCTTGTCATTTTAAATTTCACTATAAATATTGCAAACGATCTGCTTATTCTCAAAACATTGCTCCAAGTTTTGCTTTGTGTAAGAGCATGAAAAACGAGTGAACAAAAATGACAAGAACTGTTTGGTACAGCCAGCTGTGTACCTGGTAATCTGTGTAAGCCTGTTAAATTTAAACGTAAATAAGATATACGTATTTGTAATTTGAATCATTTGTGTTTCTCTTTTGTTTGCATGATATGATTTTGTTTTGTATTTTGTTTTTTCCACTCACCAGATGTTCCCAACACTTTGCTTCCCACTACTATCATCCCCTCCCTTACCACTGCAACAGTCACAACCACTGTAGCCATAACAACCAGCCCAACCACATCTGCAACCACCAGCAGCACCAGAGGTACAGTATGCTTCTTTGTTATGGCCTGGAAAACACATTAAGTGGAGCTTTAGAGGGGTTTTTTTAAAAGAATAGAAAAATTGAGATCCAATTTTACTTAATTATGAGAAGTAATTTTCACCTAAATTACTATCAATTAGAGTTATTGGAATAGAATATGAGACAAGATGGTACATCTTAATTTTAATTTAGTGTCACTTATGACTATTATGAAAATATTTCAGGATATAGGTTAAAAATATATGGAGCACTACGACATTGGTCCAAGTTAAATTGTGAACATGGGACACTGTTTTTTTGCCTTGCCTTGTAAGTGCAAACAAAGAAATAAGATCTTCAAGGATGCAGACGGAACTTGTGCTTTTTTAAGATCCTAGTTTTATGTTAATGACTTATTGTTCCTCTGCGAGTAGATTAAAACAAATACAGCATTGAATTTGTTCTAAAATTGACACAATCCATGGGGTCATTTCAAACTATTCACCACATAGAACTTTTAAGTAAATATTCAGCATGTCATCCTAAAGTGATTTGCTGAGTGGATCTGCTTATTCTACTCACAGGATGTTCTAAAAGCAAATGTTCTAGAGTTATCTGGGATGATAGGAATTGATATTTGGCCCCATGAGTAATTTCTGGGATTGGTTTACTAATAAGCATTTTTGCCTCAAGGAGAGCAACCTTGAAGAAATTGAAGTAATCATTAAGGGCAAAAAAACAATTACATTATGGTTTAGAAGTATAAAAAAGCATTTCTGAGCAGTCATTCAGTGGTTAGCAGATGATGAAGGAAAAAAAAAGTTGTTTGAGTGCCTTATAGAAAAACTCATTTTAAACAGTTTCTGCATAAGCAATGTTCAGAGAGAATTTGTCCTATTTAAGTCTGTCTTGTTCTACTTATATGTGTTTTGTGTCATGTTGGCTATACTAATATGTGTTAAACTTAACAATTTAACTTGAAATCATGAGGACTTCAATATACATGTAATTAAAGTTGTACCAAGGGCAGGATTAACATTTTCCTTCACTTGTAAAATTGTTCCATTAAATGATCTGTGTTTCTTGGGATTTTTATTAATTCTCAATTTTAAATTGAGTTGATAACTTTTTCACAGTTATCATAGTATTTCTTTCTCTTGTTCCAGAAAAAAAAATCCTGATATCAATAATTATTAATTTTTAATAATCTAGTCAACTGTTCTATACTGTGCAAGGTTGCAAAGTTTGATAATAGTAGCAATAGGAATTTCTCAAAAACACCTAGGTTTATTTTAGTATTACTTAACAACTATATTTGAGCTAAATCCAGAAGTGAGAAGAGTCAAAGATCTTTCTGATAACAATTTACATAAAAATGGAAGGAAAAACAAAAATGAAGACAAAGGTGAAAATATACTTTATGATATTATATGAAACGGATATCTAAAGTTCAACTTTGCTTTATTATTTTCCCAAAGATTTTTGCAAACTGTAATATAAATGAAATGTAATTATTGCATGCTAACAAAATTTCTGTGATAATGTTAAGTTCTGGCTGTACAAACAAATCACTTTGATGGAAAAGAAGGGAGATATATCAACCTCAATTTTGTTTTAAAGACCTACTTTAGTCTTTACAAAAAAGCCTAATAATCAATTATTCCTTCTTTCTTCAATAAATATTTGAGTACCTGCTATATAAATGGGACTATGCCAGACCCTAAACTTATGTAAAAATGGTATCAAAAATTACTAGCAGTTGACTTAATTCATTTCCACCTAAATAACTATTATCTGCGCTTAATTAGTGACAAATGTTCATGTTCTTTGTGACTACATATATATATATATCAGCCTAAAAGAAAAATGTTTTATTTCAAAATCAAGTGTTTAACAATGTTCTTTTGTACTCGTTCACATGCATCTTAAGTGAAATCTTACCTATTGTGTTTTAACCAGCATACTACAATGAAATCAATTTTCTAGTTTTTCAAGTAAATTCTCTTTTTCATAGATTTCCTAAAATATTTTGTGAACTGTACACCATGGAGTTTAAAAGTGCTAAAATAATTCATCTTTGCCTCACATGAACACACTAGTAAACAAAACTCAAAGAAGACACACACACACACCATTCTCTCTTCTTTTACTTAACAGTTGATAGATAGTATTTTTCAAATGGCACCAAGATATGTAGAAAGAAGAATGTATTTTGTGAGTTAGGCAATTCATAGTATCTATTTTATATGGAAAAACAGCGGCACTGACGTTGAACGTTAGTCTAAAGCCTGTTTTCCCGCCTTCTTCAACAAGCCACTGAGGCCTGGGGAGTCACCAAGCCCACCTGCGTGATTAATGTTCTAGTCCATATTGATGAGTGTGGGATTCAGTCAGTACATTGTTGTGAATTTTGTACTCTATCTCTTTTAAGTTACATAATATTCTTTTATTTGTACTTTACCTATATAATTAGAGATTTCAGATGCAATTACATTTTAAATGGAATTCATTTATTTATAAATTAGTGTAAGATGTTTCAAAAACATGGTTAAAAAGGGACCACAATAACAATATGTTGCCTGAGAAAAGCTGAGAATTCAAGAGAACTCAGTTTTCAGCTTGTGGATTTTTTTTGTTTACTTGTTTCATCCCTTTCTCTCATTCAATAATCTGAAGTAAACTAATTATATTTGATTTTATTAGGATTAAGTGACATTTCTTCAAATTTTATAAACTATAACATTTACCTGTATACATACTTAATAAATGACCACAAATGCATCCCTCTTCATATCTCCATTTACACTCTTTCATTACTCCTATTATTACTGAGTTTTCCATCTTGAAATATGATAAACATCCAATTTAAAATAAATTTAAAGAATCACAACTGTGACTGGGGCCGGCCCCATGGCCAAATGGTTAAGTTCGTGCGCTCTGCTTCAGCGGCCCAGGGTTTCACCGGTTCGGATTCTGGGCGTGGACATGGCACCACTCATCATACCACAGCCAGAGGCACTCACAGCTAGAATATACAGCTATGTACTGGAGAGCTTAGGGGAGAAGAATTAAAAAAAATTAAAAAATTAAAACAAAAAAGAATGACAACTGTCACTAATATAGAAATCAAGATGAAATAGAGCAAACTACTCAAATCATCAGTCATAACCGTGAGAATATGCACGTCTCTTCAATTTGTACATGAAATGCATCCCTGTTTAGAGGAAGGGGAGCCTGACCCATGTGGAAGAAAAGCTGGCAGTTAGCAGTATCTTGTCACAAATAAGGGTGTTAAAACACAGAGAAGCGAGCAACCTAGAGCAGTCCTGGGGAAGACAGAATAAGTGAGCCCTGGAGACATCTTTGGGTGTGAATTGTGGTTCTTGTCTTCACAAGGTCTTTGGTCTTGGACAGTGAACCTAACTGAGCCTCAGCATTTTCATCCGAAAAATGAGAAGCACTTATTAGAAGCACTTAATTCCCAGGTTGTCTTGAGGACTGGATCATATCCAGAGTTCTGGAAACATAATCAACACTCAGTGTACGACAAGATATTGCTCAGTTCTTTTTAGTAAAACAAATGTGGTTACATGTAGTTGCATCATACAGTTAATGAAATGGTAGATTCTCCTATAGGAATTATAGTTTCAGTTCTGACAAAATTCTTTGGTCTTAGTGCACTGATAACTTTTTAATTGCAAACCTATTTTTTATCGATTATATGAGAAAAATAGATAAAAATAGTGCTAGAGCAGGTGGAACTTGTCTATCCATCTATCCTTGAATTTAACAACCGTTTATAAACTTTCTCTGAAATTTATAGTATTCTTGATTCATATCGTAAATCTAAAATCTGAACATTTTATAGATCTCTTAAAATTTTTCTGTTACAAAAAATCTTTACTATAACACATTTTTATTTCTGCTTTTGGAAACTGCAGTTTATTAAGACCGTTGGCCTGACTAGCCCTATCATTCAGAAGGCCTATATATATACTCTCTTATAAATGTTTTTTTAGGTCACTGTGATACTGAGTTAAATATAATCGTTTATAAAATGATTCCAAATAGCCTGATGTGACTTCTAGTATTAATATTATTTCAGCATGGTGTGTTACATCAAAAGCCTTTTCACTTGAGCTTATAACATATAATTTTAATTTCGTAATAACTATGTCATAATCTAAGAATCTTTAATAGCACCACCATTTTACAGATGATATAGTGACATATATCAGTAGTTATGTCTATTTATCTTGATTTTTTATTAGAATTCACAACTGAACTTTTTATACTTACCAAGACAGGAAAACTCCTAAACTCCTAATTGTTATCTGTTTCTGCCTCTGCAAGAGTATATATGCCCTACAAATGTAGCAATAAGATGATAGATATGGAGAGAAGATGTAAAGTATCTGATATATTTCCTGTCCTAATACTAAGAGTCTGTTCAAATACTTCATGCCTTTCAGATAGGGAAAAAAACCCTAAAAGTCATGATGAAAATTATTTATACAATCTATGTAAAAATCCCAATGAATTATTGGTTCAAATATAGATTTGGTTTTGCATCAGAATTTGAAATGGTAAAATACTTTTATATTAATAAAATTACATCATTTGTCTAGTAATCTCAAACAATTTATTAATTATAATGAGGCTAATTGCAATGAAACTTTATTTCAGATTCACACTGCAAAATAAAAGCAAAGGACTTTTTTTAAAATTTAAGAAATCAGCCATTATCAAGCTGTCTGCAGAGTAATAATGAGCAAACCCACAGAACTGAGAGATGGGTACTGTTGTGTTGGTCCCATCCTATTGATGGTGATGCTCTCAGCTGGGAATGCCCAAGGCACTCTCCTGGGCTCCTGTTACATGTAGGAGCCCCCATAGACATTTCCTCCACCTGGGCCAGTGTTGTGGCTGGACCAGCCCTTGTGGTTCTTGCTGTGATTTGAGGATGTACTTCAGCAAGAAATCATCAGGGAAATTTGAGGAACAAGATTTATTACTCGCAG